CTTTGAGAGCAACCAGCTGTCGAAAAATTGCGAAGTGTAAACACCATTTTTACCCAATAATTAGTCGTCATTTTTACCTGTCAAATCCCATCCTAAAATACACCTTTTCGTCGATATTTGCGAAAATCTTGCTTCAATCAATCTATTTTATTAGCTAGGAAATCGTGTAATCTCATACTCACTAAAGAATTTAAAGACTTTTAAAGACTTTCTTCGCTTTTTTACACAATTCAAAGACTTTTCAAAGACCTTAAAGACCTGCATTCAAATTTAAAGACATTTCAAGGATTTCAAAGACCGCTACGAACCCTGATCATACCATAATTCATTGTTTTGGGAGTGTTGGTATTTTCAAATTGCATACCAACATTGTATCTTCCCGGCTTACTGTATTTTGCGAAACGAAACTTTGCGAAACTGTATTTTGCGAAACTGTATTTTGCAAAACTGTATTTTGCGAAACTGCATTTTGCGAAACTGTATTTTGCGAAACTGTATTTTGCGAAACTGTATTTTGTGAAACTATATTTTGTGATGATTCTGCTAGTAGAGTTGGCAAACATTTGTTTATAAAGACTGAAAATAAATCAAAGACAAAATGCAGTACGTTGCTTTGAATGCTTTCACATGGAACTTTATACATGTACATATAAAATGGTGTGGATTGATTTTGAAAGAAAATATGGCGACATCACCATAGAGATTATAATAACACTAGAGGGGGGCCAGGGACATCGTAATCTTAATTCAAAGGAAGGGAATGCGTCTATTGGGGGGCAAAAAATTAAAATGCTAAAATAAGAGAGAGTTTGAGCCAATATATCTAAATTCTTGTTTATGGCAGTTAACTGAGTTCTGTTTTGATTTTTACCAAGCTTTTTACCACAATTTTGTTTATAACACATTTCAAACAGTGTTCCAAAATAATGCTGATATCAGTAATGTTGATATTTTCAAGAGAAATTAATTGTTTGAATTCAAAATTTGGGGGGGAATGTTTGTAATAATGACATGCAAAGCATATAAAACACCCAGTTTTGTGACTCTTGTTTTAAATTTTTCTGGTTTCAAGTGCAACCCAAAAGGCCAAAACTTGTGTGGTGTTTACTATTCGTGATTTCAATCCCCCCCCGCGCTCCCACATTTCACCCTCGATTCCCCCTCTATCATTATTTATCTATCCCGGCCAACTCTACTAGCAGAATCATGACCAAATACAGTTTTGCAAAATACAGTTTCGCAAAATACAGTTTCGCAAAATGCAGTTTCGCAAAATACAGTTTCGCAAAATACAGTTTCGCAAAATACAGTTTCGCAAAGTTTCGTTTCGCAAAATACAGTAAGCCGATATTCCCTTTTACAAAACCACCAAATTGTACATGTACAGTACTTTTGGATTGTTGCTGTACAGATACATTTTATCTTGCAGCAACATGAAAATGTTCCTAAAGTGTTCTGCCTTGGATTCATTTGCTCGAATATAATGCATAAACCAATTGTATAATATGTTGGTCACGCAGAAGATAAATTTCTGCACGAGTTTTGGAATATATATTTAAAGTAAAATCTTGGCTACACAGTTTACATTGATTATATTTTATAAACTGAATATTAAACTTTATGCCTTGTTTCCTCGTGACCTTTCAGCCATAATTTTAACTTTAATATACCCTGTCTATTAAACAGAGAATGAATACAAATCAGCCTTAATTTTTATGTCGACGTGTCAGTTCTGAAAGTATGAAACACGTGTTTTTATGGGCCATCTTTCAAGTGTAAACTCATCAAAAATATCATGAGAAACGAATACTCACCAAGAAAAACATCAGCTGTGAATGCTTTAACATAAATACAATATCCTAGATTTGTTCGTCCAAAAAGAAAGTGAAAAAATTCAAAATAATTTGCTGTCACCATCTTTGCTTCGGACTATACGAAGTAAGTACCTATACCGGGTACCGTATAGGCAATGTGCCCCCGGCATTATGGTCCCTCCAATTTGGTAAGAGGTCATGAGCATTAAAAAGTTTCAGCCTTTTTAATCAATTAAAAAATACTTTATTCACTATAACAAAAAATACTATGAATACAGGCGTATAAAAGTATGAATGCTAATAGGAATAATAATAGGAATACCTGTTTCTGATGGAAGCTTTTTTATCCTCTTAGAAAGAAGGCCAAAGAGTCCAAGTCATAAACTACAAACTTATACATCAGTACTAGTGCTATATTTACATGCATTAGTGTAAATGTTGTATGTATTGGTTCAACTTTTATGAAATTATTGTACAACAAACTATCTCAAATAGTTAGCTGAAAATAATTTTTAGGACCAAAGCAATGGCTGGAATCACAGTAAGCCATGACAACGATACTCGGTTGCTATGGTTACAATTGTCTGTCTCGCAGCAAGCTGGTCGGCAAGTTGATGAACCGTGGACGAACACTTTCGAGTCACATGTTCCTTGTAGCTTATAACCGTAGCATTCGTTTTTCCTACCACATCTTTTGTAGTATATCTTGTCGCTGTTTCCGCCCTCAAGCATGAACGACATGCATCGATTTTGTTCTGGTCGACATTTTGACGATACTTCCTTGCACTTTTCTAGACTCAAGCCACCGCAGGAGTAGCACTTGAGAGCAGCATTACCTAGAGAGTTTGGATCATTAATGAAGGTTATCATATCTAACCCATATTCATAGGTGTGCAAGGGAGGGGGGGAGCATGGAGCTGTAGCACATCCCCCACCCCCAACTGGCCAGATCTGGTAGTGGGGAGGGTGTTGACTCTTGGTCATTTTGGGGGGTGCAACCTTTGACCAATTACACAATCACTAGGAGCTACATATAGCAGGCTTTATGATGGTAAGGGTGGTAGGATATTGCATTTCCAAATTGAAAAAATAGATTTGATATTGAAACCGGCATCCCCCTTCCTGCATACCCTTTGCCAAGGCTAGGAGTGTGTGCATCCCCCTAGCAAATCCATTCCCACAGAACTGACCATAACCGGGTGTAGGGGCACACCTGAGTAATATGACATACTTACACAGACAAATCATACAAAGCAAGATCAACAACTTGAAGACACCCATCTTTACAAACAAATCTATGTTTGAAATTAAACACGTCATGATACATATTGTTATAAATTAGCATACAATGTTAGGGTGAGGGTTGTGTATATATCGGGAAAGTGCCTACAAAAAGTGACTGGCATCAGCAGACTTTCAATAGACCTTATGCATAATGACGTCACAAGGCTTGATGCCCGCAACGAAAGCTGGTCTTAATAGTCATCACCCGGGAAAATTTTGATAGTGGCCATTTTTAATTGTTTAATTTTCCCGGGCAATAACTATTAAGACCAGCACCTCACCGGCATCAAGCCTTGTGACGTTGGCAGAAAAATTGGTCTATTGGCAAACTGTATTAAGTGGTTTAGGGGCATGCTCCACTCACAAAATTCTGTTGTCTCTGAAATTGCATTTCCTGCATTCTGGGGAAGATTTTAGTCATTTTACTGGCCATTCTGCATTTCTTATTCAACTACCCCTGGGACTTTCACACACTTCATTATTCAAATTTTATCACAGCTATAAAAAAAGGTCTCGGGGTGCACAACATAAACACGTATATTTTCAACCTATTTTTGTGCCGTAGGGTTAATATTACAAAAGCAACAACACATGAGCCACTGGCGTCATAAAATGACTGAAATATTTTAATTGAATAAACAGGAAAGGCAGGGCTTTCGTTGTACGAAAAGTTTAGACCAACTTTCGTGGCTTACATAATTTCAAAACATATGTAAACTTGCTCTAATATCGAGCCATAAGTGTTTCTATTTTAAAAGTGTCTAATGTAATCTTAATAGGGGGTTCGTATGTGATATTCAATTTAATGTATCAGTAACGATAAGGCCAATATTTTTTATTGAAAGAGTCAAAACAATTGAATATATAAAACACACACAACGTCGCCTCGAGTCCGCTCAAATTAAGATATTAAACTAACAATATTCGGAAAATATTTAAACCTTTATAAACTAGCATTAACGTTTTATGAATCGCCTGGAAAATATACACTAAGCAAGCAATGTCTGAAACCGTCTAAACGTATCGGATATGGACTTTATATCAACTAAAAAGGCTTTTAACTTTTGTCGAACACTTGAATTTTTTGTCGGTTTATATCGACGATTTCAGAGCATATGTTAAAAATACAAGCAGCATTGCTCCCAGCATGAAAGTGCTTTTAATAAAGACGACAAACTGCTTTTATTTTCCTGTTTATGCTGTATCATGCTGCTTTCTAAACCGTACAAGTTTACAGTATAAACTTAATTTGTTATAAACACGCTATAAAGTGTCCTCAATATCAGTCACGCTTGAAGTGGTTATTTTCGCCAAATATACAATTCAAATAAGGCTACATACCTTCTTGATATTTCCTTGTATATAATGGCTTTTGTATGGTTATTCAATAAAGTACAAGCATTAAATCTATGAACTTGTTGTCGTAATGTTTTTCGAACCTTCGCTGTGTTGCAATTTATCCAAAATTACCATTCAAGAATTTTTCGCACGATAGTATGCTGGCACTTGATTGGTTGTGCGCGCTCTTCTAATTATTCAGAAATGAAAATTATGTATACATGGTAAATAATTAATTTCATGTCAACCGTGAATTTGCGCATTGTGCGTCGGGCTTATGTGCGTCGTAAGCTTTGAGATTTCTTAAATACTTATTCCTGAGGATTATGCTACATATAGTTAGCCGGTCGGCTTAATCCTAGGTTAACCTAAAATTCAAAGCAAACTTCCCAACAATTTGTTTATAAACTTGGAAATATTTCTTCAGAAATCTTGTGTGGATCAGTAGGGAGTTTCTTTCCTGGAGTTTTTCGATTATTACACAGACGTGCAGAACACCGCGGAAAAACGTCTGCGCATGCACCAAATTATGAAAACATGGCGGGGAATTTGAATATCAATTTCTAAAACAAAAACATGCTTATTAACATGGGCGTACCGGAAGGAAAAAATTAGGGGGGCGGAAAGAAAATTGCCCGACTTTTCGGGATTTTGCCCGACTAGTACCAAAAAAATTTTTCCGGAAAAATTATTATTGGCGACCTCCCCCCCCCCCCCCCCCCCCCCCCCCCCGTCAGTGTACCATTTTAGGGGTCAAAAAAATTTTCCGGACAACCAATTTTTTCGGAGCATAACACAAATTTTCGAAAAATCACAAAATTTCGCAAAAAAATGACTTAATTTTAGACAAAATTGACAGAATTTGTCCCATTTTTTTTTATTGCAAACCAAAATTGCCCGACTGTTGATCGAATATTGCCCGACTGCCCAAAAAACTGGGGGGGCTGCCGCCTCCCCCGCCCCCCCGCCCGGTACGCCTATGCTTATTAATTGGTCAAAAATTAGTAAAACAAACGAGAAAACATAGCAAATGGGTAGACTAGACATTAATTGAAAGCGTCCTGGCATTTAAAGTATGGAATAAAATATAATTCATGTAAAAAATTGTTGATTTTAACGAACACGACTTCGAAAATTTTTGCAAAATTATTCAAAACAAAAATTCAAACTGAAAAGTTAAGAAAACTCTCGAAAAGTTAAGCTTCTTAACCCACTCAAATTGTAGAATAAATCCTAAAGTTTAATTATTGTGAACACGAAAATTTTTTATATTTGGCGACACAGTTTTTTTTAAAGAAATGTATCTCCGACGAAAATTCGGAAATTGTCGTTCCTTAGTTGATAAACAAAATGTTTCAGACGATAAGTTTGTCAACAATCACCTTTAGTTCATGTTCTTGTACAATACAATTTCTTGAACCTTCTGGCTGTATTTATTCCTAGTTTTTAGAATGACATGTTTATTTTTGCGCTCGAAATCTGGCTGTAAAGACACACAATGAAGTCACTCCTTTTTACCGCCATTTTGAGCCTTCGGAAACGTTCGGAACAGCTTCTCATTAAGTTCGCAATACTATTACAGGTAAGGTTGACGCATGCGCAGACGTTTTTCCGCGGTGTTGACGTGCAGAGATACACAAACTAGAACGGCGGGTTAACTTTTAATCCAATAATTTAGCCCAGAACTCAAACAATAGTACTTCCAGTGACTGTTGGACAACTTCAGAGCTTGGCAATTGATACACAAGGCGGAAATCTCATCTCCAGTTACAACAACATATAACGAAAAGAATTAGTATTCATTTCCATCATTTGCTGCAGGATACCGTCGTCGCAGATACTGTAAAAACGTTGTCTAACTTCCATGTTTGTCACCAAAAGAAAGATTTTAATTAATTAATTTATACACCCAATCACGTTTGACTAGCTTCAAGCTAATAGGCTGAGCTACATGTACATTTACTCCTGTATTCTAAAAGCTCACTCGCACTCAAAGAGTGGAGTTTCAATCTGAACTTTCCTCGAGTGTCAGTGCTGTTTTTGAATAGCTGGAGGGTTAGTCTCGCACCTTACTATGTGACCACTCACCCTCCAGCTATTCAAAAACAGCACTGGCACACAAGAGAAGCGGAGAATGAACCTCCACTCTTTGAGTGTGAGTGAGTTTTTAGAATACAAGCGTTGGAAACGGACCATTAGAAAAGTCAACGGGTGGAGGAGAGGCGGGAAGAGTTTCTGTCGTGCATGGATATTCTTACGATTCGCTTGGTGTGCATGTTATTTTTTTCGTGTTGTGATATATATTTTTTGCCATCTCATGGCTGTATGGATTTTTCAAATTTTGTTTGTATGAACTTCTCTCTCCCCCCCCCCCCCCCCCCTCCTCCCTTCACTTTTCTAATGGTCTGCCTTATAATCCTTGTAAGGCTCATTCAAACCAGCTCAACATTGATCCAACATTAAGAAAGCTTCGGATTGATAGGGATACAAATCTCTGAAAAATACAAGAACTTCCACGTTTCGAGAGAAGGCGCTTCGTGGCCAGAACATATTAGAGAGTTTAACGCCCGTATTCTAAAAGCTCACTCACACTCACATTCAATGAGTGGAGGTTCAATCTGAGCTTCTCTTGATTGTCAATGCTGTTTTGGACTAGCTGGAGGGTTAGTGTCATACCTTACTATGTGACTACTCACCCTCCAGCTATTCAAAAACAGCATTGGCAATCAAGAGAAGCTCAGATTGAACCTCCACTCATTGAGTGTGAGTGAGCTTTTAGAATACGGGCGTAAGCCTTGCGTTATACGTCAAACGGCAGGCAAAGAAAAATTTTACGGTATCAGGCAATAAAGAGTAAATGAACTTGCCGTTTTAAAACTGAAATACATAATCATTCTTTCGACACAAGAAAGAAAATATGAAACGAAAACGTTCAACGAAAATTTTGCCAAGAAAATTCGAACCTGCCGTTTGCCGTTCCCGGAAACGTAAAGCTTAAACTCCCTATTAGTGAGCTTTAGCAGGGAGCGACGTTTTTATCAACACGGAACGTCACCTGAAAATTAGTATAACTAATTTTGCCGGTCTTTTGTTTGCATCATAAGGCGAGACTTTTTTTATTCATTGGTTTTACGGATCCGCCGACCGTAAATATTCAGAAAGTGAAAAATAAAAAAAAATTTGGATGTCAAAAATTTTACGATTATAGTTGATTTTAGTTAATTTGGGGTTCTGACATGAAGTACACGCCAAGTAAACTTTGACTCCAAGTACTACCCGCTCATGTTATCGTTGTGACAATCTTGGAAAACAATGTTTTTTTTTAGTTTTTTTCCGACTTACCGACCTGGGTTTTTTTTTCAAGTAAAATCCGTAAACCAATAAATAAAAAAAGTCTCGCCTAACGCTCGTTTTAGGAAGCAAAAAAAAACTTTAAAAACCTTAGGTTTTGTCATTTGTGTTGAAGATTACCACAAAGTGACACAAACACAGTCTGTTTTCACATTATATGTTGGGTAATGTTGGACCAGTTTCGACTCATGAAGTTCACGTTGGACCAACAAATGTTGGATGGTGTTGAACGGGCCTTCAGATATGACTGCAGTGTTAGTGAAACTCAGCTATATACCATCCAAGTCAATTTATATCTTCTCAACTGCAGGCCATTCTTCTTATCATGTAGTTCAATATTCCACCATTTTTAAAGAACGTTAGCTCGACGTCTGTATCAAAACGCACTTTGACGTCAAAGCTCTTGTTGTTATCCAACTAAAAGGACAAAAATCTTGGTGACAATACAGAAACGGTCGTTCAGTTTGAAGCGATAAAACGTGAAAAATTCTATGCTAGTGGAATTTCTATTTCCTTTCTGGAACGTGGGTTAGGGTTCAAAATGTTGTGCAAATGACTACAATATAAAGGGGAAAATACCAAAATTGTTGTTTGTGGGTTTTCTTTATCTTCCACAGATCTTATGTTCATGTGTTGTCGTGTGAAGCAATGAATCTTTTAGGACTGATAGGGCATACACAATAAATCCTGAAGTAGTCATAATGGTCTTACAGGAGGGTTAAAAACAAATTTCCTACTGCAGGCTATATGAATATTTTCGTTATCAACTGTTCCGCTTTAATTTAGGTATCAAGTTAGTGGATTACTTAAGTTTTCGATCATTTCAATAATTTTGATATTCAATTTAAATAGTGCAATAAACATAAAAAAATGTCTGTGTAAATTTCTGCAAAAATGTAGATCCCCAAACATTTCTGAGAACTAGGTTCCCAGGTTCCGATATCTTTTTCACCTCTGCAAATGCCTTTACCTTAACTTGCAGCGTTTGTCCAGTTTTCAGATCATGTGGTAATTCGATGGAATAGCCCTCTTTTCCGGTTAGACCCAGGCTCTCTGCGTTCTGCTCGGGCAAGTACTGAAGTGGGATAATACCCATACCGACCAAATTACTGCGATGAATTCTCTCGTAACTTTCAGCAATCACTGCTTTGATACCCTAAAAATTGTATATAATATAGGATATTTGAACTATTCCAACACTGCAATGTAGGGGTATTCTTGGGTTTCATATGACGTCATAAATTTGACGGAGGGTCAACTCTAAATCGAGGCACAGTCATCAGAGTCATCAGAGTGTTTGGTGGCAAATGCATGCAATTTCGTATTATTTGCTCATTCCAGTACAGCATAAGCATCAATACATTTTAGGTTGACATCAGTTAGATTCACTGCAAAATGCCGTAATGAAACCCAAGAATTGCAACACTGTCCTTAACTCAAGAATGCGGTGGATATATACCGTGGCTATAAAGGTATGCCAAAACCGACGTATGTTATAGCCACAAACCGTGGCTGCAACTGTCATGGTGACGCACAGTGTGATAAATTTCAATCTCAGCATCACACAATCTGGACTTGCAAAACTCTTTTGTAAACAATAAGTAAATTATATGGCATTTCAGGCCCCATTTACAAACCGGAATGAAAATTGAAATTATCAACATGTTTACATGAGACCGGTACGAAAATCACAAAATTTTCAATTTATTCCCCTTGCCAGGCAATTTTCTTTTTTAGATATGGCTTTTCTTGTTGGCATGTGTTGTTCCAATGTCAAGGTTACAGCCGAGACCGGTCTGAAATGTATTTGTGTTTACATTCATCCCAGTCTGAATTCATGCCGCTCTGAAGTCAATCGGCTCGGTCCAGCAGGCGGAATGAACATTTTCCCGTACTTGTTCCTTAAATGCGGGTTTGTAAAATAAAGCCGGACACTCAGGCTAAGATGAAAGGTACTACGCCACCAAGTCTTAAACCGAATGCTTACCAAGATCCAGGGACCTTTAGCTGCCCAGTCACGTGATGAGCCAGATCCATAATCCTTTCCGGCCAAGATAATTAATGAACGTCCTTCGGCGCGATATTTCTCAGCAGCATCAAATATAGCCATCTGAGGAAAAAGAACATTTGTCATCAAAACGTTATATAGTATTTATTTGTATTGTTCATCTACACACGTAAAAATCTCACAACTTGTCAACAAGATGTGTTCGCAACAGGCTTGTAGCAAGCTTGTCAACAGACTCAACAAGTTGTAACAATGCTGTTATTTTATCAAGTTGCTACAAGGTTGTCACTCACAACTTGCTGACAAATTGTTGAATTGCAGGACGATTACAATTTGTTGGAACAACTTGTAACAAGTCTTTTGAGCTCAACAACCCTGTAGCAAGTTGTCAACAACCGTTGACAACTTGTCAACAAGTTGGGAACAAGCAGTGCGAACACATCCTGCTGACAATTTTTTGAACAGCATTGCTACAAGTCTGCTGCAGGTTCGTTACAACTTGTGCGTTTTTACGTGTGTAGATTATAACGTGTACAGCGTAGGGAAATTTGAGGACAGGAAGTCCTATGAAATTACACATCTGGTATGTACTTAATCTGTGGCCTAGGACAGCATACTGAAACGAATAAATTGTACCTCCTCATTGGACGGGATGTGAATCGTCTTTGGTCCTGCTTTTCCTATAAACTTGTTAACCAATCGTATGTTAGCAAATGTACCACGTGCCATGACGGCATCGTTTCCTCTTCGTGAGCCATACGAGTTGAACTGGCGTGGAACGAGCCTGGAAGAATGTAACATGATTTTGTTAAATACGTCAAAATGAAAGTTCCCTTCCAATTGATGACTCAAGCTAGAGACTAAATTTTGATCTAGGCAAGAACAACAAAATCCATCACCACAGCTAGAAAGAGCATAGCCCGCGTGCAGGCCCAAGGGAGCAGGCTCAAGGGAACTTGATAGTGGGCCTGCAAGCAAGGCCCGGTATTTTGTACTTTCCGCGTTCGCCCACGAACGCGGCATTCTGATTGGCTGTTTGCTGTTAGATTCTATAATTAGATAAGTGATTCATCACAAACGCTCTCGTAACGCTCTCGATAAGCTTAAAATTCGAAAATTGATCACTTTTTTCGATTATAAATGGAACAAGAACAGACTGTTTATTGTTTACTTGAAGGAAGAGATGTTTTTGCCGTTATGCCAATGGGGATTGCTTGTCGTGAGGTGTTGGAATAGCACTCATTACGACTGGGGTAAACTATAGTAACCTTTACTTGAGTTTCATTAATTTCAAACAAACTTGATACGTTATATGTTCCTCAAGAAAATTATCTTTTGGTTGATGTTGAGATGCAGTTGCATGTAAGCCTGTTCGAAACACTTTGCGATTTACAAGGCTTCGCTGAGAGAACGAAACAGAAGACGGTATTATTAAAATTGCCGTTTGAAACGAAACGATCTGGACTCTGAACGCTCTCTTCTTTTGTAGAGTTCTTTACCAAATGAAATAACTGAAATAAATTTCGTACTTTCCGCCGCCAACAAGAATTGCACACATGATCTGATAAGTGAGACAATTTATTTATAACAATGGCAACAGCGAAGCACACATTATATTATAAATGCTAATGTGGTCGCACGACTTCCCTCACGATTTGAAGTTTGAGACTGGTTTTCTGTTGAAATTCGTCCTAATTTGCCTGTTCCGATTTTAGTTGAAAATGAGCACTTGCAAATTTGGCAATTACTGACTGCGTTGCTTGCTTTTTTGGAGTTAAAACGCAGCCATTTACACATTGCTTATGTTCTCAATAAGCAGAGAAAACCCCGCAACATTTTAATGCGAGTTTGTTTGTTAATATTTGGGTGCTGTCATTGGTTCTTTTTTGACAATTGACGCGCGAATGGGGCGTGTTATGAAAAGGGGCGTTTTACAAAATACCGGGCCTTGCTTGCAGGCCCACTATCAGTTCCCTTGGGCCTGCACGCGGGCTAGAAAGAGCATGTCAAAATGAGTAAAATTGCAATGTTTGGTTGCGAAATGTCGTAAAATATAAGGAAAATATAGCCCTACCAAATTTGCAAATTTTGTACTAATTTGTATTACGCACGGGAAAATGCACGACTTTCGGCCCAAATGTGGTGCATTTTCCCGCGCGTAATACAAACTAATACAAAATTTGCAATTTTCGCAGGGCTATATATTTCCGCATTTTACAACATTTCGCGGACTAATTTTAACGTGCTCTTTTACTTATTTTTACTAATTTTAACATGCTCTTTCTAGCTGTGGTGGATTTTGTTCTTCTTGTCGAGATCAAAATTTAGACTGTAGCTGGAATTGCCTTATGTTGTTTTGTATGAGATCACAGTATAGGAGTAAGGGGTGTCAGTTTCATGAAGTTACAGGCATTCACGTTGTCAAAAATATTGTTAATATCAAGTAGGTAATTTGGCGTAATCATCACGGCAATTTTCAAGAAGAGAAACTAATAGACTTTTCAAATCCTTAAACACTTCACAGGCAGTGTTGCCTAGCATCAGGAAACTTGCATGGTTCCAAAATTCTCATTCACAAAGTCCAAGCATGTTAACTTTAATCCACGTTGGACTCTTGAAAAAACAACATTCGGTATCGAGCCTCCTACATATATTTAGAAAATTATGTGCACGTATACTCGTGCCCAGTTTCCTTACCCTCTCGCGGATAAATAACGCGCGGCAGGACTGGTTCTAGAGATACTACCAGCTGGAGAAATGTGATCAGTCGTGACGGAATCTCCAAGATTCAGTAATACGGCCGCATTCGCAACGTTCTTCATCTCTGGAAGGCTGGTCGTCTGGAATAAGACAAAACACAATAAGACAAGTGACTGTTTGCAACGATTGAAGACTGGTTGACACTATCAAAGTTTCTGTGATCACAGTAGAAATTTTGCACATGAATTTTGAAGAATTTGTAAGAAATGTTTGAAGGAACTGACTCAGTAATTGTTTAACACTAACGTTACCCGTATTCTAAAAGCTCACTCACACTCAATAAGTGAAAGTTCAATCTGAGCTTCTCTCAAGTGTTATTTCTTTTTTTGAATAATTGGAGGGTTACTGTCGTACCTTACTGCGTGACTACTCACCATCCAGCTATTTAAAAACAGCATTGACACTCAAGAGAAGCTCAGATTGAACCTCCACTCACTGAGTGTGAGTGAGCTTCCCTCAAACATTTCTGTAGAAATGATTATAGAATGTAAACCAGCTCAGAATCTAAGAAGTGTCAGTATATTGTCCCGGTGACACCCGCTTGAATCAGAATTCCGGTTGCTGAGACCAGAGTCTATCTCAAGATACGATCGGGTCTGGAAACTGAACAGAAGTCATCGTATTATGTTTTTGTCGGAGTTTATGTTAATTTGTGCACGGTCACGGTGATTGAGCTCATTGTATTTTCGTATAATGAAGTAATCGTCCAATAGGGATGCTGAGATGAAACGTGCAACCACGATGAGTAATATTTAATGAAGTTGAAACAAAGGATTTGCGCACGGTGAGGTACAGCTCAACATCAAACAAAGCTCTTCTATTTTGTGGCGACTTTGAAGTTTGCCTGGCTTCCAGACCATCATATCAGGAATCACACCTTAACAGCACAGGATCAGAGACGTCCAATATGAATAAACGAATCGTATAGTAAATAGGAGAGAAAGGAATTTTACCATATCATCAAAGAAAGGCGGACTTTTTATGTAAGTAGATTTCTCATCCCAAGGATAGAGTAAGGTGTCGGGAGCTTCTAAGGAATTCCAGTTCGAGTTACCATCCTAGAGGTATACAAAAAATATCAGCATTCAGAATACAACTAAAGAACATTTAGAAAACTAGAACATTTAAGGAAAACAGTTGAAAACTGAACTGTTGCTATTCGGTATAAGTCACGAAATGTATAGAGTAAAAGCTTTTCACATAAATTACCGTGATTTTTGCATAGACCTCTTTAAACATAGCTGGGATGACGAATTTTCTTTCGACCTCCTACGCGAAGAACAACAGGAAAAAAGCATATTAAATAGCAGTATAAATGTCATATTAAATAATTGTTTAATGGAAAGCGAAATACTTTGGCTCTTTGAAACTAATCATACCTGTATCTGTTCACGAGTAGGCCAAATGTCTCTTAAAAATATCTCTTTGCCATCTTTGCCAATACCTGGTTTTACGGTGGAAGAAAAGGAAATGTGTTCATGTGAAATCATTTGGGAGATGACTTTTTGTATGTTACGTAACAGGCGCTCAAATTAAAGTAATGAGTTTACCATACTACTTAATATGGAGTATGACTAACTTGAAAACTTTTATTTTTCGATACGTTTCTCAATCGGCAAACAAACTTAAGAAGTATGTTTAGTGCTTTATCTGTAAAATAATGCTAAAATAAAGAGATTTTAGATGGTGAGCCAAAGAGGAAATTATACCTAAAGTTCAGTACGTTTTGCTTATATTGCTGCAAATATGGCGACACTTTTAAAGCATCATTGATAATTGTATTTTAATTGACAATTTTTCCCTATCATTTTATGTTTTCAACCGGCAAATGCATTTAAAAGGTAGCTAACTGTATAAACTAGAGAATAAAGCTAAATTTCATCGCACGTAGAAAAAAATCGCCTCGTAATGCTTTGTTGACGATAATAATATAAAATTCATATATATGTCTGCGTGTTTAATAATTTGAAATGAAATTTGAAGTGGAATTTGAAATGGAATTCGAGTTTGAATCCGAAACTGAACTTAAAATTAATTTGAAAGTCAAGTTGAATTATTGAATTTCAAATTGAATTATTGAATTTAAACTTGTATTTCCGTACCCAAAGGTTGTTTTTCAAAATCGATGTCGACGGTTCCAGCAATGGCGTATGCAATGACCAAAGGTGGGGAAGCGAGATAGTTTGCACGTGTTAACGGGTGAATACGTCCTTCGAAATTTCTGTTGCCTGATAGAACACCAACAGCTACCAAATCACCCTGAAAATAATAACCAAATGGAACAAAATATTAACACATGATTCCATTAGGTATGGGGGACGCATCCCCACCCACCTTGGGGAGGGGTAGGTGTTGCTGTCCCCCCTCTCCGCCATATTTTGCTTTCCAACTGTGGTCGAACGATTGAAATTCTTAACTTTTTTAAAAAAATCGATCTTCTCAATGTGTATACTGTAACAGCTCTAAAAGCGCCCTATGCCACAGTAGCTCTTTTTCAACAACCACCGATATAAATTTTGTCCTAAATAGTTGTTGTTGGCACATGTCTCCAGCCTCCAGGTCTACCGACCGCCTCCGCCCCCCCCCCTGCAAAGAATTATCGCCCTGTTAAACATGACGGAGGTAAAAATGATAAGAACTAACTTGTTGAATGGCTTTTCCAATCACAGTGCCTTGTGAGCCCTAAGGAAAATGTTTGGGAATATAATGATTCTAGATCTCGATGAGATTTGTTTTATTTTATTGCCGTGCCAAACGAAGTTAGATTATTGCTTTCTATGTTCGGAATCGTAAGCCTTGGTATTTATTCAAAAGTACTATGTTTTCGCGCTTGTGGTTGCACATGTTTTGCGCTGTGTCTGGTTTTCTTTCGAGTCATTGTAAATGAAGTAGTTTTTTATTTAAAGCCTGGTTTGCACTATCATTATTTTAAAGAATCACGAGAGACTAACTTGTTCAATGGCCTTTCCAACAGGCTCGGGTAATGGACCACTGTTACCAATACACGTCATACAGCCATAACCAACGATATCAAATCTAGAGTTGAAAAACCCAGAGACATTAATCACTCTTCTCCCAGAATGGAGGGGGGAGGAGAGGGGAAAGAAGGGAGGATGGATGAGGGAGGGGGGAAGAGGAAGGGAAAAGGTGGGAAATAAGGGAGGGGAGAGGAGGGAGAGGAAGGAGGGGAGAGGAGGGACGGGAGAGGAGAGGAGGGAGGGGAGAGGAGGGAGGGGAGAGGAGGGAGGGGAGAGGAGGGAGGGGAAAGGACGGAG